GAATCATTTCTACCCACTAGCATGGGCTGTGGTGGACAAGGAAACAAGCAGGTCTTAGAGTTGGTTCATGGAGCTGTTGAAGTTGTCTTTGGAGCTTAAAACTGGTACAGGAATCACATTCATATCAGATATGCAGAAGGTAAATAGTTCTGACTTTCTTTCATTCTATATTTTAAAGTATATGATGGTTTGCACTAATAGCCTAATATTTCTTTCATTCTCTGTTTTGTAATTCATTTCACATGGCTTGTTGGATGCTGTTAGCACAGTAACTTCCTGAGGCTAACCACAGGTACTGTGTGAGACATATTGAGGCCAATTGGTGCAAAAAATGGAGAAGTGGTGAAATGAGAAAGTTGTTATGGTGGTGTGCATGGAGTTCATATGATGAGGAGTTTAAAGACCAATTGAAAAAATTAGGGGATCTGTCAGAAGATGCTGCAAAGGATATCTTAAAGTATCCTCCAAGGGCATGGTGCAGGGCTTATCTTGATACCCAATGTAAGAATATGATGGTTGATAACAACTTCACTGAGTCGTTTAATGCCTGGATTCTTGAGGCTAGAGGAAAACCAATTATCAAAATGTTGGAGGACATAAGAGTGGAAGTGATGGTGTTGTTAGGAGACAATGAGGCTAAGGTGAGAAGTTGGAATGCAGAATATAGTCCAGCTTGCTTGAAGTTGTATAGTGATTGGAGGGGCATATCACATGACTGTAAAGTCATATTCAATGGAGATTGGGGATATGAAGTGTCTGAAGGAATTGATAGACATACTGTCAATCTACAACAGAGAAGGTGTACATGTAGGTTATGGGATTTATCTGGCATTCCTTGCCCTCATGCAATAAAGGCAATGATGCATAAGAGAGTAGAGCCTGGTGGTGAAATCCATTGGTGGTATAGTAAAGAAGCATACTTGCTAACATATAAGGAAAAGCTTCAGCCTGTTAGGGGTCGGCAGTTCTGGAAAGTTGAACCTTCACAAGCCATGTCACCTCCTGATACTGTGAAACAAGTTGGCAGACCCAAAGTGAAAAGAAATAGGGAACCAGATGAGGCAAGAAAAAGGATAGGGGAGTGGAGTCAATCAAGGATGGGTACACAAATGACATGTAGTAATTGTGGTGAGCCNGCTAAAGGGGTTGTTACAAGGTAATATTTTTTTATATTGTTTGATTGATTAACAGTACTACTTAAATTGACTTGATTTTTTTTACTTGTTAATAGCCTAAGGCTGCTGCAACTCAAGAAGATGCTGCAATGGAGAGTGACAATGAAGATGCTGCAACTCAAGAAGATGCTGCCACCCAAGCTACAAGCTGCAATGCTGATGTTGGACCATTTGCTGCCACCCAAGAGTTTACACCATATGGTCCGGAAGTTGACAATGAAGAAGATCCTCCACTTAGGCCAATGATTGTTTCAGAAACACAATCAAGGATTGAGAGGGTAACCTAAGAGGACCTACTACTGGTGTAAGGAAAATTAAGTTTACTGGAGATCACACTGGGGCTTCGACACCTACCAATCTTCCTTATTCTCCAACTAAGCTGACATGGAAGGGAAAAGATGCAATCTCATCAAGCCAAGTCCAACTTGAGGCAAGAAAGAGAAATATCAAGATGATGGCAACAAAGGGCAAAGGCAAACGAGTTGCACTTGATGATGAAGATCTTCTTTGAAGACAATGGTTATGTTTTTTGTTAGTTAAACATTTGCTAAGGCTGCTGTTAAGTTTTTGCAAAACAGCTGTTAAGTTTCTGCTGTTAAGTTTTTGCTAAGGCTGCAGTTAAGTTTCTGCAAAACAGTTGCTCAATTTGCTAAGGCTGCTTGTTAAGTTTCTGTTGCTTGTTATTACCAGTGATTGAATTCTGCAAAACAATTGCTCAATTTGCTAAGGCTGCTTGTTAAGTTTCTGCTGCTTGTTATTACCAGTGATTGTCTTGTTAAGTTTCTGCTGCTAGGCATGCTTGTTAAGTTTCTGCTTGTTATTATACTGATATGAAGTTAAGCATGCACCCAGAGATACAGCCTTCTCTTGAATATATACATATTTACTCGCAGATGTCCCTTAATTTGAAAGTTCTACTCAGCATTTCTTGACAGGAAACTAGTCAACAATTTGCTCAATCGACAAACACTAATGGTACATGTGGTGGCAACTTTGTTTCTTGTGCTATCTTCAAAAGTTTGAATTGCTAATTCAAAACAGCTGTTTTTAATATCATAAGCATCAGAATGTACAGTTGGTAAGCCCCGTATGCTTTGACATAATTAGTACAAAGAATGGTTAACATTTCTTCTCCAATCTTAATCAAAATACTACTTTTCAAGTTAAAACCAGTAACTTAACAAAGTTTAGAGTACTTCAATAACACAAGAATTCATTAATCTAATGTACATACTTCTTCATTCAGTTATAAGTACACATATAACATCCCAAAAAGGTTGATCAAAGGGATAGTCTGCCAGAACCGAAGGAAAACATAAACTTCATTCCAAAACATAAAACATAAATTAAACCTTAACCATGTCAATTATACATAAACCTTGTTTGAACATCCGTTACATAATCACTTAAATATGTCAAATACACCTAAACTTTGGTTGAGCTTAAGTTAGCTATTTCATCATCCAAGCACAGATAAACCCAACTAAGCAACACCATACCATACCAATGAAATTCCATTTTTTCGGACTACTTTCCTTCACAAACACTAAACCTCCATCAATTTTTTCCTTAGAAACATCATTGTCTCCTTTAACATTATCTAATTCCTTGAAATCTTCAATTTTTGCAACATCCCCTGCTTAAGACGCTTTCAATCTTCGACAACCTTTCATCAGGTAGAAGATTTCCTTTCTCGTCTTAAGAGCTTCATTTTCATTCTTTAAGTTACTGATCAGTGTTGTAACTCTAATAGGAAGTTCATCATCTACCCATTCCCAAAACTTACATTTCTGTCCCTGCACAACAATTACAATAAAATTATCAATAATTTTTGTTTGTCGGCATTATTTACCTAAACAAAAATATACAAACAATTCTTATAAAATTTACCTTAGGCATTGAACACTTGTTAAATCGTCTGTCGGCATTATTTGGAGTCCAAGCAGTGAATTGGCTAGCAGCAACTCCACAACAACATTTCCCCCTCGAACCATATGATGAACTCGAAGATCCCTGGCTCATATTTTGGGAATTGAATGGTGAAAGATGGTGGGAACACTAACCCTTACTTGGTCGTATGGAGTCGACGATAATGGGGGTATGGAGTTTCGCCGATTTATTTCTGACCCTTTTCCCTTGTTGAATAGACGATAATGGGGGTAGGGTTATTAAGAGGCGGGTTATAACTTATGGGTCGGGTAAGGGGTTGGGTTAATGGGTAGGGTTGGACATTTAAATAAAATGATTATGTGGATATTAATTTCCACATGGCTACTTTTGAGTGGATGACTTATCCACTGTGGCTTCCGTTTGAAATAAGGGGGGTATATAGGCCAATAGTGTTACGGTAGGGTTGTGGATGGGCCAAACTTTTAACGAGGGTTATATTTGGCCCTTTTCGTAAAGTCTAGGGGGTATTTGGCCCTTTTTCGTATATTAAATGTGTATCTTTTGTATATCATATAGATATTTATGTATACATATGTATGAGATACATACATTGTAAAGAAATTTATAAACTCAAGCTTGGCTAAGAAATTTCACTCTAAACTAATCCAAGTCACCGCTAATCTTTCTGAAATGTTATATATTGTTTCATCTACGTGTTTTCAAGGAATTTCAACCATAACTATTGAAAAAAATTATTTTTGCCTAATGTTTTTGAATATTGTATATTATTAATAAGATTAGGAATAATATATTAGGGACAAATGGGTGTGGCTCCTATGGAAGATAAGTTGCGAAAATCGATGCTGAGATGGTTCGGTCATGTGAAGAGGAGAGACTTTGATGCCCCGATTAGGAGGTGCGAGAGGTTTCCCCTGGCGAGTCTGAGGAGTAGTAGAGGGAGACCTAAGAAGAACTGGGGTGAGGTGATTAGGCAGGACATGACTTTACTCCATCTTATCGAGGACATGACCCTGATAGAAAGGCGTGGAGGTCGAGAATTAGGGTGGTGGGTTGATAGTCAGTCTAGAATTTCGCCTTGTCTTAACACCAGTAGTAGTACTTGTCGGGTATTTTCCTATTCCTACTCCCATGTCGTACCACGGTGTGTCATCATTATCAGTAGGATTGGTACTATTTTTGTAGTTTCGTATCTTTATCAAGACTCACTGTATTATTTGCTTCCATTGTCTTATTACGTTGTTGTTGCTATTGTTTCTCTATTTCTGAATTTTTACTGTTCTTGAGCCGAAGGTCTTTCGGAAACAACTTCTCTGTTCATAAGTTAGGGGTAAGGTTTGCGTACACACTGCCCTCCCCAAATCCCACTTGTGAGATTTCACTAAATTTATTATTATTGTTGTATATCGTTAATAATAAATTTTGATTCATCAGTCAAAATCACCTCCAGTCTCTTTGGAATTTTGTATGTTAGCGTTAGTTATGTATTTTCGACGATTTTTAATCATACACATTAATTTTTTCCTTTTGCCTAGGTTTTTTGAATGTTGTATATCATTGCTAACTTTTTATGGTTATTTTTATTAGTATGATTTAACGGCTAATTGTTGGTAAGTTCACCTATTTGTGGCTATTCTAGTAGTTTTTTCGTTTAAAAAAAGAGAAAACAATTATTCTATTGGAGACCAATCAAAATGCAGGACAAAAAACAGAGAATAGGGGGGCCGCCCAATAATTTTGGTAATTCACCCACCAATCGAAATTAAACTCTAATTAGCCAGTTGGATTGTCCCACACCTACAGCGAAATACATTTAAGTTTAACAATCGTAATGGCTGTCCCGTAAATTCATGTTATTCAAAGGGCAAATACGTGACTCTCGCTTTATCTTCTATCATAATCATCTGATTCCACCCCCTATGTACAATTCTCATATTTAGTAAAATTTCCCAAAGGTTCAATTCAACAAAGAAAAATCGACAGCAACATTGTGTGTGAGAGAGAGAGAGAGAGAGAGAGAGAGAGAGGGAGGGAGAGAGATCAGCTACATTGACATTTTTACAGATCTCCCTCGCTCTCGTTTTTGACCCCTCGCGTTAGCCATGGGTCTTTGGGAAGCTTTGCTCAATTGGCTTCGAAGGTATATTTTCAATCTAATTCGTTTTTCCTTTTTCATTATATGAATATATGTTTGATTGGGTACCGAGTTTAAAAAAGAAATAAAACCTTTTAAAAGTAACGAACCATATTTGTGTAGCTATAAATCTCATTAAGGAAAAATTGAAAATTTGAAAGTCAAAAATTGTTTTCAGATATAAAAATATGTTATTCTTTTTGACAGACTAAAAGGGAGAGTGGAATGAAATGTAAAAGATTCATAATATAGTGAACTTCAACTCAAGTAGTTTAGGATTGAGAGTTAAGTGATTGATGTAATATCTCCAACTCCTTACTCGCTCTTCATATGCATTTACAATATAAACTTTTTTGGGAGCTCTTTATTGTTATATTTAATCATTTTGAAACGATTCCGCTGAATGGAATGTTTCGTGTTTTTGTAATTTGGTATTTTATCAGTTTTATAAGTTGAATGTTGATTTATGATTGCTGGTACTTGTATTGTCCCATTTGTTTGGGAAATTTGAATGAGATGAGCAATGCAACTCTTCATGATTAGCATTAGTTGTTATTGACTCCGTCGAGACATAATATGACTGAGTAATTAAAATCATGTTCCCTGTCTCAGCTTAAGCTTTTAGATTAGATGGTCACACAATTCACCAGATTCATTTTAGGTGGCAAGAGTCATTGATTTACTGAGGCTCTACTATGAATCTTATCATGAAACTTTGATAACTTTGGCGACCACATGCCCTCATATTTTAGAAATTTATGTTGTTGAGTTTAATGACATGCAAAACACAATGACAAAGCCAAACTTGTGGAGAACGGGATCAAGAGCAGTATAGTTAGTCAACTTCCCTAATATATGTTACTCATTATCCAGAGTCCAGACTCTTCCCCGTGCACGGAGAACATATAAGAAGTGTCATTTATTTCTATGAAAAGATCTTTTTTATGAGGCTTCTCTACTTTTTGGTATACTTCTTGTATACGGGTATTTATGCTCTTCATTCATGAAATTTTATTACCTTACAAAAAAAAAAAAGAACTCAACAAGAAATTTTGACCCGTTGTTTAACTTATTACGATTTAACCTTTCAGACTTAAGTGAACTCTAATTCTAGTTGCAGTATTCATTCGGATGTCACATAGTGAACTATTGAATATGTTAATTCGTTGTCCTAATTAAGCTTGGAACTTCATGTCTTGCACCCACCAAATTTTTCATAAGTTACCAGTAGCATTTCCGTCCGCCTAAGTTCTTGTGTTCTTGTTAGCTTTCTTTATTGAATTCATGTATTTTTGTGGAGGTTTATTGCTGTAGACAGATTGGTTGCCTGGTCTTCGAGACCTCCTCTCTCTCCCAAGAAGCATAATATATCTGTGTGAGTGACAGATGATCTGTCAGCACATTTGATCATTATGATGAGACACTTGTCCTAGTTTTTCAAAGGACTAGATGACTAAAGGTGAAAATGTGAAATCAATTTATCAAATAAATGTTTGGTGGCCCCTCTCTCCTTTTATACATTTTTGGCAGTTGAGGGTGCCCTATGTGCTTCTATCTTATTCTTGAACTTCCACCAGAGCTCAAGAGGGTTGGTTTGGGAGATGAACTAGATGAAAGACTAATTATTGGCAGATCTGCAATATTTTCCATCCATCCTGTATTAGTAGTTTCACGCCATGTTGTGCAACTTGGACCTCCTACTTGCTACTATTTGTTTTCGGTCCCTCACCTTAGCCTTTGTGTGTAATTGTTACTTTAGCTTTTGGACTGTGGCTTAAAGTTTGAGAAATGGAAGTTATTGTATCTTTATTTTCAGAGGGCTTATAACACATGTTGGAATTTCCATTTTGCATATGCACTTGTAATTTGATTTCTTTGGTTCCCTTTCTCTTATGAAAAGACTCCTCATATCAGCTCATTAAACTTGGTTTTCCTTCAGCCTCTTCTTTCAGCAGGAAATGGAGCTTTCTTTGATTGGGCTGCAGAATGCAGGAAAAACATCCCTTGTAAATGTCATTGCTGTAAGTAGATACGTAGTGATTGTTCTTGTTTGCTTATTTTCTTCGTATCCTTTTGCTTCCATGTACTCTGATGGAATCTGATGCCTCATTCATATTTGTTTGACCTGTTATTCTTAGACTGGTGGATACAGTGAAGACATGATACCAACAGTAAGTTGTCATCTCCTAGCTCCTAGTCGTAAGCCAAATCCAATTTCAACTTCAATGCGTTATTTTTATCTGTGATAATAATACAAAATCTATTGGATGTTTAGGTGGGATTTAACATGCGGAAAGTGACTAAAGGAAATGTGACTATAAAATTGTGGGACCTTGGAGGTCAACCCAGATTCCGCAGTATGTGGGAAAGATACTGTCGTGCAGTTTCTGCTATAGTGTATGCATCTATCTTCAGCTTATTTAATTACATTGTGTAGATGTTAATATTCCTTTCTCATTGATTTTTTATAGATGTAAGTAAATGAATCCAGTTATATGCTCAGTATTACTTTCACTTATACAAGCAAATTCCGCTGCTTGTGTTTTTTTGAGTGCTCATCATTTTGCATAACCATAATACTTTTGGAAGTGACGGGATACAGCTCCTAGTAGATCGGTGGTCTTCTTATTGTTGAGCTGCATTTAGTTTTCTCCAATCATGGTTTGTTAAAGAACAGCTGCTAGTTCAATTACCTGATCAGGCTTTTGACAGATTTATTTCTAATAAACCTTGGGCATGGGAGAATTCTTTCCTTTTAGCCAGGTTCC